ACAGTTGATCATAGTTCCTGGGCTCCCTGTGCTAATGGTTATTGACTTATGTCCGTGTACGTGACGTCGTAGAGTATTGCTGCCATCATACATTGATTTTCTGTAGAAAATACTGATTTCTGTCGATGGTGGCGCCATCGCGATCACTCAGCGTTTCCCTGTGACGCACAGAGGCGCAAGGTGACCAGAAACATGAATATTTGTTCTGGGCATGGCATGCTAAGATACATTTTCTAATTGCTTGTTTTAACTATTTTTGTCGTTAAGTCTCTTTGGCCCAATTGTGTCGACAAACGATTGCGTGTTTTGTGGGATTCTGTGAACAACTCTGTGTGCCACCCAAATGAAATCCCAAGCAACGTCATATCATAATATTCAATCCCGTGAATCGAAACTAGGAAACGAGACCAGGGATTTTGTTTACGCCCAATCGATACTTATACTTTAACGCCGACGGGGGAAATACGTCATAACAATTTGCAACCGTCCCACTGTGTCTAGGTTGAGTGGTGATATTCTTCTTTGCGAATCGTAGTGTGTATCTGAAGTAGAATGCAAAGTAACATGGTAACTTCACTGTCAGGGGAGGCCAATACACCATTGAACAAACTCGTACTAATGTACCTTCTATGGTGTCAACACAGGGTGAATCATTGTCATGTTATTTCCTGGGTATTCATAGTAAAGTAGACATAGTAAAATAACACTGTGGCTATATGGGTGCACTTATATTTCTCTGTATAGTCAGACGAATTTCTATTAAAACTTTCGTTTATTTACGCTCTTGTGTATCGTGCACCCTCTCTGGTAAGACCAACTTGTTTTGGATCAAGCCAGTTGGCGGTACTCTCATACATACAAATGCCGATATTCCCATAGCGAGACCGAGAACTGAAATAAACTTTGCGCCTAGTCTGGTACCTAGAGTATAAGAGACGACGGCTCCGGCGATCACTCATTTTTTAAACTGCAAAAAACAGACGAAAGAAAAGTTTAATTATTTTAATTTATTAAAAAATTCCAGTTTGAAGAATATCAGTTGCTCTTTCAAATTGTGTCAACGGCTAAGTTACTTTTACTTTAAGATTTTAGTAGAATAAGTCAAGAAAGCTAAACAGATTGACTCCATTCACGAATCCTGAGTGTGTATATGTACAGTTGGGCCGTGGTCGTTTAAGAATTCGTCATACACCAATCACAATACCAGAGCGGGGTCACGAATCAGTTAGCCTCGCGCCCTAGTTCGTACTAACCAGTGTTATGATTGGTGCGTGACAAATTCGAAATAGGCCATGTGTAGTTTCCTCGATAAGCTATGTGTAATTGCTATAG